GTACTATTCTCTAGTGCTACTCAGATGGATCCGCCTGTTGACCTCAACTAACGGGCAATTTGAAAGCAGGTGCCTTCCGAGGTGATAAGAATATATAATGACGGTAATTAAGCTATATCTGAAGAGCATTCAGTCGAAGACAAAACGAAGAGGGGGATTGATTGGCATCATTAGCATAAATTTACATAGTTAAATAAGATCGAAAAGCAGTGTGCGCTAAAAACAGAATAAAAAGGAAAAAAAAAAAGTTGCCTAAGCGTTTCTAATAGTATCTCTTTATATTGGCGAAGTAAGAACAATTAAGCAAACGACGTGCACAATATTGAATGGTATCGACGCTCGGCTTACGTCTGTCGTAGAGATTAGGATTGTCGACATCAACTTCGAGGTACGCTTAGAAGGTATTCTCTGAACTATACGATGAATTCTTATACCATCAGGTACTCTAACGCTTATTTTAATACGCCACTCGTAAAAACGTAACTAGAGGCTGACTAGCGACGTCGGAAATCTTGCACTTTTGCCACACGAACAACATTTGACTGATGAATTGTACGAAATTATCTAGATATACATAACCATATAATGCATTTGGGTGGCATTCGTGTTGTAGCAATGCTTGAAATGGATGCCGGTGGAAGAGGGACCAAGATAGTTGGAAGAAAAGTCTACTATTTATGACGACCTATATAATTTTATGTCTGAACTTAAAATCTGACATTCCCTCAACTAGGTTGAGTAATAAAGCTTTGAATTGTAGACTGGCTTGCGCAAATAAAGGTCACTGCAAAGTAGTCTCTACATCTGATTTTTATTGGCCTTTATGCCGCATGCAATGCATGTTATAGTTCCTCACCGATGTAGTGAATTATGAAATTCTGTACGAAACATTTCGTAGACCCGACTAACCTAGATGTTCACCGCATGCGCAGGTCGCTATGATCGTGCACGTACTAAAAGCTATATCATTACTATTCAGCCAAATTGGTATAGATACTAGACGCGGCAGATGATGACGTTCTCTGGCGTGCCTTACTATGGCGCATCGATCGTATATAGAATGCGTTTACATATCTGTAAAGACATAGTTAATCGGACGAACCGAGTCTTCAAAATACACACCACAACTGCAGACTATTTGCTACTAGATAAATGTTTTTACCGCAGTGGTCTGATACTCCATCAACCTCACGGCGCTTTGACGCTGAGTGATATTCGCATAATAATAGCGTGATTTTTGCCACTGACGTTATTCAAAACGAGAAATAAATGAGGTTCCTTGAGATGTTGTTGTAAGATCTTCTGGTTCTACCATTTCTGGAAAACCAATAAGATCCAATCTCATCCTGAAAGGATCAAACACATATGTTTTATCTATAATACATATATGCGTTTTTGCTCACCTCATTACCTTCTGTATTCGTTATATGGAGATGTACGCTTATAGTTTTAGTCCAACAGAAAATGCATATAAGCAGCATTAGCTGTAGGGTTATCCAGTTTACTAAAAACGAAATCACTTAATTCTGTTAGTGGCCGCTCGAGCTTATTTTTTTGATAATGTCACTCGACAAGCGGTTGTATATACATATATAAATGATTTTAATAAATATTATTTTTGTCAGTTGCGTTTTTGTTATCTGACTAGGCGAGTTGACACAGTGTTTATTAGTAGCGATGCATTACGCCTTTCATGTATCTAATTCGTACAAACGACCTTCAAAATACGTTCGTAGACCTCTCGATTTATTATTTAGAAGTAGGCTAAGCCACACTGCTTCTATGGCAAGGCATAAACGCGGTTCCATACGCCAGTGTGATCCTCGCAAGAAATCTGTAAACCTTATCACGATAAATAAAAGTCGAATTAGACGTCTCGATAAATTACGTGACGTACCTTGTTCTCGAGCATTTATCCTCCTACAAACTTTCCTTCTACAATCATAACGATAAACGGAAAGGTCAAACAATTTTGAAACCAAACGCAGACACCTATGCAACACCTGCCTTTTGACCACCTCGATTTGATTTCCACAACCTTCAGCTATTTTTTTCTCTCTGTGCCCATCATTCTACCATGGCCGTCACGAGGCTCAGCAGAGTCACTCCTTATCGAGCCTTGCACCATACCAAATGATATTTTAAACATTGACGACAACGTCGGGTACGATGCTCCTGGTTGCGCATTTGACAGACTCTTCTTTATGGGGGTTTTGCAGAGCGCTCGGCGTCGGATCGAGCGTTGTTCTGTTTATTTTCACGACTACTCGTGTAGCTTAGAGCACTGAAGCTGTGGTCGCAACGATGGCGGGGGCGACGCCAGTGTTTCTGCTGCTACTGCGGCCATATGGTCGAAAAAAGAGCACTGGTTTTCGCTTGCCGGATGTAATGCACGGTCCGTTAAGCAAAAACACAATCATCGAGCGAAGGAACTATCTGGGCGGGAGGGTAGTGCCCAGCAGCAGCCGCAGCGAGTCTGATTTCGAGCTGCCTGCTGCGTACGAACTCGAGTCACGTCGGACCTCGAGGGTCAGATCCCTACCGTTGCCCATAGTGGAATTCAGGCCTTTGCTCGTTCAGACGCAACCATCCCTAAATCTTGAGCGGATCCGCTTTCTCCATCACGCCCAACTTAGTGCTTGTTATATGTTCGCAAAAGCCCAAATCGTAGCGTAGAGCGTTAGCGAGCAAGAGGCAACTAGAGGAAAAAGAGAACAAGGACGGGTTATAATAGAGGCAGATCTCTAAGCGGCGCCCGGCCGTATGTACCTAGAAAAGGTTCTCCGTCGTACCGATCGCGCGTCATATGGCATGGTGCCGTGCTAGACTGAACATGATTCCATCGAAGAGGACACTCACGCATAGACAAACAAAAAGAGACGTGAAAGAATTAGCCAGACTTGTTTCTCCAACAGAATAACCTTGATTTTCCCACGTTTTTCTTCCGCCTACGTCACAGCTCGGTAAGTTTTAATTTAAACCAAACGTGAATCCAGGATGAACCTGGCTGAAAAGTTGCCTAGCATTTGTAATGACAATTGTATCATATATATAATTGTATCTACAGCGCACATTATACCTCTTTCCGTCAAGCAGGATTACAGGCAAACCATTGCAACAATTGTGTCAGAGTCGACGACCGCATAGCCTTTCATGTTTTGAATTCCACTGAAGTCTTGTTGAAGTTGGGGGGTGGGCGCGCACTACTGTCGTACAGTTAAAATTTTCTCGCTCACTGCCAGGTTCCTGTCTCTTACCTACGACTACGGCTGGGCACGGAGGCGGCCTGTTTACCTCTTTCATTTTCTACTTTTCTATGGTATAACTATCCTCTTTAACTGCTATCTTAGTGTGCTGTTCTGAGCCCTCTCCGGCTATCCGCCACTGCCTCCCTACCACCCATGTTTAGCTGTGTGCACCTCAGTGTACCTACCCCCCACTTTATTCCTGCCTCGTTTATGCTCTGAGTTCTAGCCGAGCGCCGCTTTCTGTCCGCGTGCGCGGTAGCTTAATCCACAGAAACGTCGTTAGCCTCTGTTGAACAACCGGCTGGGCGGTTGGACCCGATCGCGCCGTCTGCAGCAGCAGAAGTGGCGCTTTCACCCTCTCTTACCTCGCGGCTTCCCTCTCTCATTCGGGCGAAGGTGAGCTCGTACCCTTTCCACATTTCGTTATCTTACTTTGCGCGGGCGGTGACGGTGGCCGGCCCCGTTACTGTTGAGTTAGGTCGACGACGTCGAGAAGTAATGCGTGCTGTGTTGTCTGAGAATCGCTGAGGCGCGCGTATTGTTAGAGAAATAAATAATCTAGCGGTGACAGAAATGGATGGATAGCGAGAATTGAAGCAAATCACTGTTTTCGTATAACATCCTAGTGGAACACGGACAGGAAATGATAAGCTAACAAGCAGAAACAAAATGTGAACGCAAGCAAAATCTACAAAGGAAACAAGGAACTGTGGAAAGATATTCGTTGATTTAGTTAGTTGAATTTTTTTTGAGAAAGAGAGAAATTCAAAAGAGACAAGAGCCGACTTTGGAAATCAATCGGTTTATGCCTCATTTTCTCATCTGTTTCAAAAAAAAAGACGCGCTTCATCGAGATATTGTTGAGGAAGAGGCTGGAGTGCCTAACTCCCCCTACCCCTCCCCCCCCTTAAGTAGTGCTTTTTTACTGGAAATTATAAGTGCCCTGGCCGTTGGAATAGCAAGTTGATTATTTGTTGTTTGTGAGCGTACACTTCACCGATTGCGTTCAGGAACGGAATCAACAGCTCTAGGATTATTACTTTTAGTGATACCGATCGAGTAAGGATCAAATATACGGACTCGATTGCTTGTTTGACGGTTATGGTTTTACCATAGTGATTGGGATCGTAGTGATTGGTCACTGTGGTGACGATGACGAAAAATCGATGAAATTTTTCCGGTTGGAGTGCGTCCAGAGCCTTCTTCTCAGAAAATAATTGTGATGCTTTCGGGATGCGTTATTGAACGGATCGCCAATACAACATCTCTCATTTAGTAGAGAAAGCGTACCGTGTAAATAATACAACGGAATTAAAATAGGAAGTGACGTATTGAACGTGCTGATGAACGCTGTGCCGCGGTTTTTACTGTAATTCAAAATTGTTTTGGTGCTGATGTAGTATTATTATTATTCATAGTTATACACTTATTGTTACAAATCTACCAGGAGGTCTAAGTTTGTGCTCGGCTGTAAGTGTCTCTGCGTGTGCGCGTTTTTGTACAAGTGGAGATCGGTTAAGCTCAAAAAAAGAAAACGAAAGTGACAATATGTTTCCCATTAACGATTTATGAAATCTTGGCTGAGTTTGTTACCTGTGAAATAAATGGCAAGTGTTTTAATAACGAGTAAGGTTTCGCTACAAGCAAATACAGATTACTGAGGAAATTCACTCACTGCGTAACAACAAGGTAGTACAGCTAAGCTGGGGGGGGGGGGGGGGTAGAAATATCGGATAGGAATAACGAGTACAAGCCAGCGTGAAACTATGTCGGACGGCGGGAGTGGGTCCCCTGGAGCGGCCACGGATCTGGGCGCGTACCTGAATGAACTAATAGCCGAACGAGATAAGCAGATATGCAGTGGACATGCCGCACGACTTCTTGATCAAGGTAAAGCATATTCACGTACAAAGGTTGAGATCTTTTATATTCCACGTGTAACTACGATGGCTATATGGGGATGCTCTAGATGAGCAGAGCTGGTCCGGCGATTCAGCAAGACGACGCAGCTTAGCCGAATTCAAAGTAAAGAATTATGATATAAAATCACATCGTGTCGCACTTAAGAATTTACGTTTACCTTTTAATTATATCTTCATAGATAGATGTCTTCAGGTGGCGTCTGTATCATCAGGACCCGTTGTGCAATTCTGCGTTCGTGGCCGTGTCTAGACTATTATTTCGTTTGTGAGATATCAGAATCGGCCACATCACACTGAGTAATTGAAATTGCTGGAAGGTAGTTACCGGCAGGAATCGCAAAAGCCTTGACTCGAAATAGTCAACATTGCCTGAATATGATTGCTAAATTATCTCAGACCTCATGAAGAAATAGGGAATCATTATCTCCATTGGCATCGCGCGAACCTCTAATAGTTCAATGATGACGTGCACGCCAGCAACTTCCTCAAGTTGTTTGCCTGTCAATATATGATTTATGCCAAATATCTGCTGTAGTACGTAAAGATCACTGACTTCCGTTCTTAGTAATCTTGGCACCGATGAATTAAGATTGATAGGATTATTAGTGATAGGCCTAGTACTTCCATAAGGCCTGTCCCAATGACAAGGAAAAACAACAGAAAATACGCCGCTTTAGGAGTATTTAAAGTCATTGACCCAAAGGTTCACACGAAACCGGTCATCGAAGCACATCCAAATGCACATAGACACATCATCCATTGTGGAAAATTACATAAATACAGGGTATTTCGTATCTATATTGTAGAAAGGAACAAACATCTAAATTTGAATGAAGTAGAAAAGCGTCCAACGCCGATTGTAGGCGTACCGTCAATAAAAACGCGTACTATGATTTCTACTCTTACATTTACAAACCATAAAATTTATTAGACATAATAACATGCATAGTCTGTACGATGCCAACGTCGGGAAGATTGCATTTATGGCACTTCCTAGCAGTGGCAGTTGTTGACAAGCTCTGCGTCTGCAATAAGCGAACGCTTAAGTAGTTTCAAAATGTCGTAGACACTTACAACGTCGTCATAACAGCGGCCGGTAGCAACCGGCAGCAATAGCTCGAAATATGCCTAATAGGCCCACCTGCTTAATTAAGTCCAAATCGAATTAATCATTTTCCCTATGGACCTAAACTCCGGTCCAGAGTAATCCATAAATCTTAGAGTTCGAACAGTGAAGAGACGTACTTTTATCGATAATAACTGAGTGAAATGTTTTAACCCTAATTGGTATACTTTTGTCAGGAACAAACACATTCAAAATTGTTAGAAAAAATATTTGGTTAGTTAATTATTTTGGCCATTTTTTTGTTAACGTCGAACAGTCAGTGCTTTTGATCCGAGTGGCGACTTCGGGAAAATCATACCGGTGGCATCAAAAGGTTGACTCGGGTCAAAAGGAAAAAATATGGGTCTGCGCGTGGGGTGCTCAGGCCTCTCCCTATCCCGACATCGGTTCTCACCTAAACTTCTAGGCCGGCTTCAGTAACGTTCAATAGTGTTTTCCGATAGGCTTCTCGTTCATCTGGTCCCATACTGCTGTTAGTTAACGAGTCTCTGGCCAACTTTTTCACGAAATATGTATCAAACTTTGAGGAGCAGCTCTTTTAGCGTTTGCGGTCCTCGCAATCCCGCCCCTCTTCGCTTCTAGCATAACATTCCAAGCCACAGAATGCGGAGAAGCTCTTAATTTCCTTACGTGGATTGTTTTAGGCGAGTTAGTGGAAATCTTCGAGTTTTTTTGCCATTCCAACTAAGAATCGTATGCGCAATAGCTTATTCGTTCGCGGGCATCATGTACGATGTAGCGCAATATGCCGCGTTTTTAAGGTGATTAAAGACCCGATGGCTCTTCACAGGGAAAGATTGCTGGAGTTCGGCTTCATTCGCGTCGGCTTATCAATCCGTTTCGATTGCTATTTGCTAATTCTTTAGGGGATACACCATATAAAGATTCTTCAGCAGATTCTTCTTTAGGTTTACTATTTGTACGACGATTAGAGTTTTTCCTGTGCTGATTGTGGGTCTAACTCGCTATCGAGATCGTGCGGGGCAACGGAATTAAGATCAGGAAATCTTCAATTGCAATCTATATAAGTAGGAACAAAAGTGTGTTTGTCAAAATGCATGCACATAGCGAGTGGGTCAAACGAAAGATGGCCGACTTGCGCTGACTAAATATTGCAACATAATACTTTGTGTAGAATTATTTTCGCCAGTCAGATCAGCTACTTCCCTTCAAACTTACACCCGTTTTAACTATCATGCAGCCGTTCACATACGGAAATCCTAGACCGTTATGATAAATCACTGTCAAAAATGTTGGACATGATCGGTACCCTTCCACGCCATGCTGCTTAGTGGCAAGACTCACAAAAAGGAAACGCTTTTCCCCTATGATAAAACTGATGAACACTAAATGCTTAAATGGAACAAGTCTACGGAAGGATAAAAAGCGAGCTTTAATTTCGCGGATATAGTATTCCATAAAATCTCGCTATTTCATGCTTCGTAGCAGTGTATCAGATTTAAAGCTATTTATTTTTATTGAAAACTTATTTTCTTGTTTGTTGGAATAGCCTGCTTGTTTTCATTATAGGTGAAAAATTTACGCGCAGATCAGTAAACACCGTTGTCCACGGGCCCAGCTAACTGGCAGCGTCGATATGCGATGACCAATGCTTTAGCGCCAGAGCTACGTGACGCCTGACAACCAATTCATATGTTACTGTTGCTACGGTATTATTACGATATAATAGTTTTCTTTTTTGTTTGATTTTTCTTTATTTTCTATTTCTTAACTCAAACAATCAGCTACGCCGCGTCCATAGCCATCGGCATCATCGACACAACTGAATTGCATAGTGACGCTTGTCTGCGGCGGAATACCGCGACGCAATCAGCTATTGCGCGATCATTGGTCTGATGCCATCGCAAGTAGTTTCTCATTCCCTCCGTGAATCCTTTTTTCTGATTAGTGTAACGCGATGCTATGCAATGCGAGTGACAAATCGAGGATTTCGGTGACAACGCCGCTGAATTACAATGGACGAGATACATCGATCAGCTCTAATTCCTGCCTGGATATCCAGTCAGCCAATAGAGAAGTCTCATACATTGCCTTCGACACGTGAAGTTTGTTTTCGGTATCAGCAACGCCGCTGATGTTATTGTTACAGTCGGTAATGCCGCTCCTCCAGGCTGCTGTCGTTATGTTGTTATTCAGCCCGTTTTTGATCGTTCTATACATCCATATGCCCCTGCTGACAGCCGGTGCAAGAAACCTACAGAATTGCGTGCTACTATTACTGCTGCTATTTGTTTATGTCATTGTATGTTTTGTGTACGATCTCCAATCGCGCTTGCAAAGCTATTCTTGTTGACCAGCGCTATTAGAGGGGATTTCAGTCCAAATTATAGTTCAGATCCGGATTGTCTGACGTTACTTTTCTTGAGAAGAGTAAGGGATCCTGTGGTTATGTTTACTCTGAGCAGAGTTCTTGTAAGCATTCCATCGTCCTTTTCTCCGGGAGAGAAGAGGTACCCGTGTGGGCATCTCGAATGCTGAACTGAAAGAGAGCTAACGATCACGATTGGTTGGAAAAATATGAGCAGAAGCAGCAACATTTGTCTAGATAAAGTTGTTTCGGATGCTAGCAGTAACCGTGCCTAGCTTTGTGCGTGTGTCTGTGGATGCACGTATGTGCCTGGTGAGCGTCTCTGGGGTTGGACCGATTGCCTGGATCGTAGGGGCATTCGAAGAAACATAAACAAACATCGCCAGCCCTAACGCTAATTTTGATCATGTCACCGATGACAGCCAGGTCATCAGAACCCCTAAATTGTCTGACAGCTACAGGAGAAAGTAGCGCTTATTAGGTAGCCGGGATCGTGCACGTACACACGAACACAGATCAGCCACGCGCCGCACATTCGTGTAACGATTGTGGTGACAAAAAAATCAGTTGCATGCGCTCATATATTCATGCACTACAAGCGACGACGACAACAACAACAAAGGCGCGACAGACAATGGGGTTGAAATAATGTTATGAGTGGAGAGGATTATGATTAGCAAAACCAAAGATAGCTGAAGGGATTGCTGGTAGAGGAGTGAGTCGGCGGAGCTGGTCGCTGTGGTGTGGGGTCACGCAAATCAAACATAAAAGTGTTGCTTCGACGCTTACCCCGTTGTTGGCGTGGGGCATCGCCAGCTTTGTTCGTCCGTGGGAAGGTTACGTAGAAAATTATCTGAAACTGTGCACAAGACAGCTGCAAAGCAGAGAGTGGAGGTGGTAACGGGTGCGGGGCGAGTGGGGGGCAGCATAAATAATAGTTGTTTTGCCCCTAGTGTTGTTTTGCTATTGGTGTGATCACAAACATTGATAGTGTCGTCGACGGTGCTGTTGATTGACCGAGCTGTACTCGTTGACCAGTTCTGCCGTCATCATCATAATCACTACCGTTACGGGGTTTAGAAAAGAGTTGGGTACATTGGAAACAGTAGTTGAAACTTTTGAGTTTAAATCTGCCGTTTTCCTCAAGCGTTCCCTTTCTTCTTCTTTACTGTGATTTCCTTCACCCCCGGGACCCCATTACGGATAGGCGAGACACATTGTCCAGTTTACCTTGACTTGCCCCACGGGTTGACAGCGTCAAACGCGCATCGACTGTCGGCAATCGGACAACAGGCCGCGTTAAGTATTAAAATGGTATATTACATCCAAAATGCTGGCACCAACGCCTGCTACCCTGAAACATTACTGTGATCATCTGAGATGACATACATACAAACAACGATAGCTTATTCAACTATAATACAATACGTTTTCTATTACTGGAATACAAATACAATACTTCACTACAGAGCATACCGCATTACAAGATGCTTGTTAGAAACGCCAACATGAC